TGCACATCCTTCTAGTTGCTGTATGTGGGACGCGGCCTCAGCATGGCTGGAGAAGCGGTGCATCGGTGCGCACCCAGGATCCGAACCTGGGCCGCCAGTAGCGGAGCGCGCGCACTTAACCGCTAAGCCACGGGGCCGGCCCATTCATCACTTTCTAACCTACAGCTGCAAGCCAAACACAGCCACCACTTGCTTTGTAAACACAGTTTACAGGGACTGAGCCTCGTCCGTTGGCCCACGCACTGTCTGTGGCTGTTTCACACCACGAGGTCAGAGCCGAGCGAGACTGTGGCCTGCAGAGCTGCAATGCCCAGAACGTCAGCCCCACGGCCCAGCCTTTGGGTTTGCTCCCTGACCTACCCCCAAGGGCCGAGACCCTCACGGTGACACTAAATGAAGAGGAGTCCCCCTCCTCCTGCAAGGTGGAGAAGGCATCGTTCACCCGAGACTGAGCTTCAGGCGGGTGAAGGGCATGCAGGTCCTAACCCTGACCCTCTATTTCCAACTGCCTACTGGATCTTTCCACCTCCTCCTTCCAACGACCAGGGCCTGACAGTGTTCTTACAGCGCCCTTCAACAGCACCGCCCTCGGGGAGGGAACAGTCAACACAATAGAGCAAGACGACTAGCGGTTCACCCCTAAACTTCCACTCCTCCAGGGAGCCAGGCTCACAGCCGGGGTCACTCCCAACGCCTCCCTCTCTTTCACCCTCAGAACCAGCCCCTCACCAACTCCTGCTAGTTCCTTCTCCGTCTCCAGCCCTGACAGCACCTTGGCTATCTTATGAGCACAGTAGCTCCTAGTCCTCTCTGTCTCCCGTCTCCACTACCTGAAACTACACTGCCCTCAGCTGCCAAACCAAGTCTCCTAGTCTTTTCCACTTCAAGAAAAAAATTAACCCATTTTCCATTCCCTACCCCTCGTCACGACCCTCAGCCCCCGTCCCCTCCCGTCACCCCTGCTGGACGGACAAGGCTCCCACTGGAGGCCCTGCCCTAGAATCCCAGCTCTGTCCCACTGCAACACCCCTGCCAGCTCCGCTTGTCTGAATCCTGCTCTTCCTCACCCCGACTCCTAGGCCCACAGGAGCGCTGGGCAGTCCTACTCAGTTATGATCACATGCTTTCCTACACGCAGTTAGACCTGATACAAAGCAGTAAGCCTCACAGTAAACGATTAGAATGTTTTCTTTCAGAAAGAATGCTTAATTTATAAACACCTTCTATTCCACATAAAAACTTAGTGGTAGAATTTGATACTTGCCTCTAATATTGAATTCTTATGAGGTTCGTTCACTTTTCCTGCCAGACAGCAATGGGACACAGCATTATGAATGATCGGTTTGTTGGATTTGCTACTGGGCTCCTTGAAGAGTTTGGGACCTGTGAAAACCAGGCCAAGATTTATACAATTAATATTTTAAGGCACGTCACACACACAAAAGAAGCCAACAATTTCTCAAAACCAAACAACAGGCAGGCTGAATTAGGGATGTTTATGATTTTCTGAAAATGGAAAGTAACAGCCACTTCAAACCTATTTAAAAGAATTCTGAGTTACAAATTTTAAATAAACCAAGGAAAAGATTAAAATGATTAATAATTTATCCTCTCTCTAATTTCAGTTTCTTTTATAAAAAAAGTAAAACCAAGAAATAATAATTTTTAAAAGTTTAAGGTTCCAAAGTGCCCAGGACACAGTACTTGGTCACGAGGCTGCACAGACACAAAGGCATGTCACCTGCCACTGAGGCAGCTGGAGAGCCAAGCACTGCCCACCTCACGCAGACACGGACGCACCCACTGTGACCTCCCCACACAGACGTGGACGCGCGCCCGTGACCTCCCCACGCAGATGTGGACGCGCGCCCGTGACTTCCCCCATGCAGACGTGGACGCGTGCCCGTGACCTCCCCACGCAGACATGGACGCGTGCCCGTGACCTCCCCACGCAGACGTGGCAGTGCGCCCGTGACATCCCCATGCAGACGTGGACGCGCGCCCGTGACCTCCCCACATAGACGTGGCTGTGCGCCCGTGACCTCTGTGGAAAGCGAGGCCGTCACCTGTGTACTCGGCCACCGAGGCGAGGGAGGACGCTGCAGATGCCGTCTCCCAGTCTCTGTCTGTGCTCCTGCTGGGATTGCGGCTTAATATGGGCAGGGCTTCCAGTGACTCGACTCTGCTAAGGAAAAGGACAAAGGGCGTGAAGGGATGGTCGCGGGCACACTTCTTTCACCCACACTGGCCGCTGGCTTGTGGAATCCCACCCTGAAACAGGCCAACCTACCACTGGTGCAAGAAGGAACATCGCAGTGGTACAGACTTCTGGCAACGGTCTGCTCCCCGCGCAACACAATTTTAAACTCGGGCAAAACACAAAACCCAGCATTTCAGGCACTACAGAGTGACGAAAGCAGACAGACGAGGGGAGCTGACTTCCATCAGAGAAGGTTCACCTTCACACAGCCTTTGTCCAAGGGCTCTGCCCCGACCCAGCAGGACAACGGTGCTCAGGCCCTGATGGTCTGGGAGGCTGGAGGATGAAGTCTGAATCTGCGTTGCTGCCAAACAAGGGACAAGACCCAGGGACGGAAGCGGGGACAGAGAGGGCTGATCCAAAACTCTGGTCTCAGCGACTCTCCGATCCCTGGCGGGCCTGAGCTGCAGCCCTGCACAGCAGTCTCCACAGAGCGAAGCAGACTCCAGTGGCAGCGAGGCTGGACACAGCTGCTCACGTAAGGGAGGCAGGTGTGGTTGGAGTTTGAATCCAGCCCAGGTAACTGACCATCAGAACAAAAATCCAACCAGAATCCAGTCCCTGACAGGTGGCCAACACAGAGCCCAGGCAACCAGAAGGCAGGGGACACGTGAAGAGGCAGGACAACGGGGCTGCGGCCACAGGATGCACACACAAAATAAAGGGCAGGCGGGGGATCTGCCTACCGGGGGAGGCCAACAACACACAAGGGGGCGGCGACGCGAGATCCGCAGAGGTTACTAAGGCCCGTGAGCAGAAGGTCAGTGGTATCGACGAGGTTCCCAGCATCTCTGCCAAAATTACTTTTTAATCATAAAGGGAAATTATTCAGTGCCAGCAGAAAAACAGTCAGGTACTTACTTAACCCAAGTAAACGTGACACGCCTGACAGGCTGCACTGAGAAAGACACACCCTCCCGTGCCCTCCCCTCTGGGGCGTACACACCAAAAACAAACAGCCTAGGGCCAGCCTAGTGGTTAAAGTTAGGTGTGCTCGCTTCAGCGGCCTGGGTTCAGCTCGCAGTCGCAGAACCACACCACTCGTCTGTCAGTAGCCATGCCGCGGCAGCGGCTCACATAGAAGAACCAGAAGGACTCCCAACTAAAATATACAACTAGGTACTGGGGCTTTGGGGAGCGGGGAAAAAAAAGAAAAGAGAGGAAGATTGGCAACAGATGTTAGCTCAGGGCAAATCTTTCCCAGAAAAACAGAACAAAACAGAAGAAAAATAAAAAGTGAAGTTTAATTAAAAAACAACAACAACAAAAAGGCACAGCCTAAGCCTGACCATGGCGAAACCTACATCTAGGGATAGTCAACCAAATAACTGGCCTGAACTTATCCAAGTGTCAAGGTCAAGAAGGACAAAGGAGGTCTGAGGACTGTTCCAGACTAAAGAGAATAACTCAGTGCAAGACACTGAATGGATCCCCAGCTGTGGAACGCGGCTCTCAAGGGCACCACAGGACAACTGGGTCAACAGAGCGCCGACTGTGGGCCCAGTAAAGGTGCTGGCTGGAGAACTGTGAGTATGAGAAGACGTCCCTGTTCATAGGAAACGCATGCTGACGTCTCCCACCTGCTGTTAACTGACTGAACAAGCACATGACGCATGGGCTGGGGAGGGAGACAAAGCAAATGTCGCCAAGTGTAACCAACTGGCCACCCTAGGTGAAGGGCATTTAGGAGTTCCTGTGAAATTATATCAAAGTTACAGTTACAAAACCATCTCCTGTACAGTTTTTTTAAGTCTGAAAATTCCATTCTCCCCCCGACCGCGCTCCCCCAGCCTCCTTACCGCTGGGAAGGCGCAACCCCTGAGTGGACGCTCTCGGGCTCTGTTGTAGCTGCAGAGGCCAAGGACAGGCTGGAGCCCGACTGGGCCCGGCTCAGGTTATCAGCTGCCAGAGACAAGAGAAGCTTTCACAAGACATGTATCTGTCCCTCTACCATTCATGCAGCTTCGCCCTGACCCGTGGTGCGGCAGAAAGAACCAGGGACCAGACGCATCCTGTGGCATACAGCGCCCTGCAGCTCCATCTCCCCTGTCGGGGGGTGGCACGCGTGCACCCCACTGCAGGGAAACCACCCTGCACACCCACACATCTGAGCATGAGCACTTGGCCTCAACTTTCCCATCTGTAAAACAGGGTAATCCTCTCCACCCCACCACCTCACAGCTGTTGAGAAAATTAAAATGAGATCAAGAACGCAAGAGCGCTCTGTCCACTGGGGGCAGCATCTCATGAGTAAAAGAGGACCAGGGCCACGCCTGCAAAACCGAGCCTGCTTACGAGTTGAGGAGCACTTGGTTCCTGAATCGCTACACGACTCCTCCCGATGGACTGACTTTGGCCGCGGCTTTTTTGGCTTAGATTTAGGTTTTCCCAGTCCTTGTTCTTCTAAAATCTGTTGTTGCTTCCTGCGCAGGTATTCCTGTTTGATGAGTTCTCGCCGTGCCTTCTCCTCCTCCTTCCGAATCCGATCTTCTTCAGCTTTACGCCTGAGAGAAAAATACGGTCAAGACAGTCCTGGTTAGAGGGACTCATCTGGAGAGGGGGCCAGGCACCGCCTCCTGCACGAGCGAGCGGGGACCGAGGGGTGCCCCACTCATGTGGCAGTGAGCGCCGTGGCACCCACCTCCCCACGTTAAACCCAGCCTCGCCACAGAGCTGTGTGACCACAGCCAGCACACTTCCTGTGTCACATGACGATGGGGATAAATGTATACAGCTCCCGGGGAAGCTGTGGAGATTAAGGGAGACAAGGAAGTGCCTAAGCCAGAGCTTGGCCCAGGTGACAGCGCACAAGATGACGTAACACAACTTCAGCCTGAGGCACAGGCGCTACCAGCCCCACCCATCAGCACTGGCCTGGCCAACACGGCAGCGGCCATCTGCCCCCACAACACAGCAGGCGGGGGCCATGGCCGGAGCCAGGTCACCTGGCCTCATCTCTCTTGAGCTCAACTTCTGCTTCTAGCTGCTGCTTCCGCATACGAGCCTCCTCAGCCTTGCGCTGCTGCTTCAGGAGGAAGGCTGCCCGCTTCTTGGCAAGCTCGTCTTCTGCCTTCTGCTCATCCTACAAGGCAGACGTCACCCACGTTACAGGGCACAACACTCAAATAACCCACACACACTTGTTTTGTCCCAACAGGAGACTTGACCTTACGCTTAGAAAATTTTAATGCACAGTCCAAAGACTTTCATATTCTTTTTTTGCCTGATGAATAAGCATATCTTTATAGATGCTAAAATATAGAAAGAAAAAACTCATGTCATTCAAAAAGCATTCATACAGTCTGTCAACTTTCCAAATGTCTCCTACTGAATTCAGTTTGCCTTGAAAACTACATATATTTCCACAATACGAGGTAATACCCAAATTAAGCATTCAGTTGTTTACATCATGAAAGCACAAACGCCAAACAAAGCACGCATGTCTTGACAAGATAAATCTGACAACTCTGTAGTACGTCAGCCACCTTCATAAGTGCCAGGAGGAAAGCAGACACTATTAAAACAGAAAAGAAGTTCTCATGACTCATTTTTCTCTTCTCCCTAAGAAAAAAATCACAACAAAGGCACAGATAGAAACAAAAATGTTTCCTAAGGTTGCTACATCTGTCTAGACTCTGTAACAGGCTCAGTAAACTTTGGCCCAAAGGCCAAATCTGACCCACCACCTCTTTTCGTGGAACCTGTAAGTTAAGAACATTTTTTAACGTTTTAAAATAAATGGTTGGAAAACCATCAAAAGAAACATATTTCGTGACACACGAAAATTATATGAAATTCATGCTGCAGGGCCATAAGTCAAGTTCGGCTGGCACACAGCCAGGCTCAATTGAGCAGGTGTGGCCTGTGGCTGCTCTGGGTGGAGTTGAGTCCTTGCAACAGAGACTAGCATGGCCCGCGGAGCCACATACGTCCACCCTCTGGCCCTTTATAGAAAAGGTTTGCCAGCCCCTGCTCTGCACTTAAGTTCTTTATAACACCCTCTCAACTAAGGTAAAGTGACAACCCGACAACCCCGTGACACAAATGCTACCAGTAGTTTACCTTGAAGAAGAAGCCAACTCCTGGCTTCTGGTCGCCTTCAGTGTTGAGGTCCACGGAGGTCTCGTGGCCTTCCGTCTCTCCGCCCTCGTTGGGGGCCTTCAGGTCTGAGAGGTCCACCTCGATGAGGCTGGCCTTGCTCCTCGGGGGCTCATCCACAGGCACGTTCTCCTTCCCGGAGATAGCCGGGGCACTGAGCCCCGCCTCCTTCTCACTGTCATCCAGAGCTTCTTTGAAGCTCATTTGTTCCGATATAACGTTTGCATCTTTGGAGGAGGACAAGACAAATGTCCGTTGGTTGCTTTCATCATGGAGCCTGTAACTGTCAAAGAAGCACTTCTCATGAGAGTCACTCCCAGGGTCAGCACCGCTGTCCCAGCCAAGATCGGAGGGTGTCCGAGGGGAGAAGGACCGTAAGTGGGGGAGGGTCTCTATACTGGGCGTCGGGGTCTTGCTTCGGGAGGAACCCTGCTGTCTGTCTTTTGGGACCTTCAGCTCGGCTGGTCTTCCTGAACGGGAATTCCGACCCTGACCAAGACGAGGGGGTTTGCGGTGACCCGTCACTCCAGTTGGAGAGAGCGGCTCGACGAAGTGGATGGCTGCCTTGACTCTCTGGTCCTGGGAGTTGTTTTTAGAACCTGGAGCTGGTGCTGTGGGGGATTTCATAAGCAGCTGCTCTTGCTGCTGAGAAATCCTCAGAATCGCCTGCTGCAGTGTGCTGATGGTCTCGTTTAGTTTCTCGATCGAAAGGTCACACTCGCCCACGTCTCCCACCTCAGCAGTGCTATCTTCCAGGAGAGCAGCAGAGAGCGCCTTGTGCTTCTCCAGGTCCTGGAGAGCCACAGGGTCTTTCGGTTTATGCTGCTGAATGAAAGCCAGGCTTTCCTTGTCCACATCTGGAGACTCACTGAGGAGATCTTCTCTCCCCTCTTCCTTAACAAGAAATTCTTCCATTTTAGGAAGACCACCATCAAAGCCCTCTCCGTTGTGCTGAGAATATTCTCTAGTGAAGTTCTCTGGTTTAAGCGGCTGGGGGACAACATCGGCCTTGCCCTTCTTGACCACGTGCAGGAAGGCCGCCTTCCCCAGCTTCAGTCGCTGCCGGGCGGACAAAGCCTCCATCTTCTTCTTCTGCGCTTCGATGGCCCTCCGTTTCTCCTCCAGCTGCATGTGGAGCTGCACCAGCTCAGAAGCCAGGAGGCTGGCGTGATCCCTACTCTGCCTGCTCGGGCTCTGCTCTCTCCGTTGCTTCCAGCTCGTCAGGGGGGCTGGGCAGCTCTCCGAGGCATCGGGCGTGGTCTTCTGGGAGCTGCTGGTGCTGGACTTGGTTTCACAGCTGTTGAGCCTCTGGAGCTTCCTTTCCGCAAAGCTGGTCATCTTCACGCTCCCGCTCGCCATGGAGACGCTGCTGACCTGAGAGACGGTGCTGAGACACGGGCTGGAGCGGCCACTGGCATCGTCCTTGTCCTCGTGCTCTTTCACTTTCAGGTCCTCCTGCAGTTTTGCCGACTCTTCCTCACCAACATACTTAGTGACCGCCACCGCGTGGTCCTCGCCAAGTAAATCGTGCTCGGCTTCCTCTAGATCTGCGACGTCCGAGTCGGAGTCCTGCCTCAGGACGGTCCACGGCTCTGGATCGTGGGCGCTGGGGCTTCTTGCACAGCTGACATAGAACCTGCCCTCCGTGTCTTCGTCGGCTCTGGCTACATGAAGGAAGAAGCCATCGGCAGACTGTCCCTGAGAGAAAGGATCGAAACTGCCACTGGCCAGAGGCCTATCGCGGGCTTCCCCCACCACCTGCGGCCCCACCTCTGTGGGCACAGGGTCCAAACCCACAGGAAGTTCTGAACAGATCGGGGTGAAAGTTCTATTCAAGTCTCGACTGACGTGACCACTGGACGCCTTTTTCCGCAGCAGAGGCTGGTGGCCCTCGCTGGACCTCTTGGACGTGAAGCTCCTTGGCCGCCCTTCTCCGCACTCATCCTCCTTGGTAATCGTCTGCTTCTCTTTGGCTGGCCTAAGCACGGCCGGCATCAATGGCTCCAAGAAGAAACTGTCAGATTTACTTTCTAAGGTGTCCGCCAGCCTCTGGGGAGATCTGGCACTTGCCATCAGGCCCGGGTCACCGCCATGGGGAGCCACATCCGTGCTAATGATGGCCACGAGCTCTTCATCCTCGTCCTCAATATCGACATTGTTCAGGAGGCTTTTCCCATTGGTCTTCAGGGCGGTGGGGTGTGGCTGGTTCTGTGGGGTCACATTAATGATATTGGATGCCAAACTATCCTTGCTGATGGAGCGGGCCAAGCTGACGCTGTCTCCAGAGCCGGGGTCCACATCGCAGCTCGCAGCATGATGAAGAGCAAAGGGTGCTGGCTGAGACACAGGCCTGCAGCGTGAGGAAAGAAGCTCGTTGGATGTGCCACGGTCTACACGAGAGGCCACTCAGTGAGATAACAAGTCATGAAAAGAGGACACGAGTCTGAAACCCAGGAGAGTCAACAGACTCTTTCCCAGGGCAAAAGAAAACCAGAGACAACTCTAGTGTAGCAACTCTCACACATTTTGGTCCCAGGACTCCTTTTACTCTTAAAAATTACTGAGAACCACAAAGAGTTTTTATTTATTATATTTAATATTGGTCATACTAGAAATTAAAGCTGAGACATTTCTAAAACATTGATTAAAAATTATAATAAGAAACACATTACATGAAAAATGACCATATTTTCTAAAACAAAAAAGTTTACAGTGTTAAGAATGGCACTGTGGGGCCAGGCCGGCAGCATAGCAGTTAAGCTCACGAGTTCCGCTTCAGTGGCCCAGGGTTCACCAGTTCTGATCCTGGGCGCAGACCTACTCACCGCTCATCAGGCCATGCTGAGGCAGCGTCCCACATAGAAGAACTAGAAGGACCTACAACTAGGATATACAACTATTTACTGGGGCTTTGGGGAGAAAAAGGAAAAAAAAATAAAAAGGAAGATTGGCAACAGATGGTAGCTCAGGGCCAAGCTTCCTCAAAAAAAAGAGTGGCATTATTTCACAATTTTGCAAATCTCTCTGATACTGGCTGGATTCTCATATCTGATTCCCAGGTGTCCTTGGACCGCATCTAAAGAACTGCTACATTAGGCTAATGCACATTTCAAATAGAAACTCATTTGAAACAGAGAGAGTTCACCTGTTTTTTTTTTCCGGCCAGGCTACTGCTGCACTGCGTGGCTGACCATCGACTCGAGTTAAAGAATTAGATCGGTGTCGCTGATCTGCAGTTCAAAGGAAGTGGTCAGTGTGTTCAGCGTTAAGTAACCAATTTTATATCATTTGAAATTCTTTCAACCTAGTAGTCACTTCTCAAGGAAGTGCATCATAATTCAGTACACCAAAACTGCTCAAGGAAAGTAGATAATCACAACAATACAATTTTCAATAGTTTCAATACTAAGTAATGTGTAATTCAACAGTAATCAGTCCAAATCATGAAATAAAATAATCAGAACTTTAAGTGGATGTCAATACATAAGTTCTTGCTTAAGTACAATAGAGCAATTTTCTGTATACTTCATATAATTTATTAGATTTTAATTATATTTTCACTATAAAGATTACAAATTCTAGGGTACGTCAATACAAATTGAAATTTATTCTGCCATAGTCTTCTTAACTAAAATTACTACATCATATAAGAGTATTTAATTCTGAGAATCGTTACTTTAATAAACTACAGTAAGAAGAACTGAGGAATGGAAGGTACAGAGGAAGCTGCACCCTTACCGGGGGACCCCTCTCCCTGCATCGTCTTGTGCTGTTTCTGTCTCAGTGGCAATAAAGGATGTGACGGGCTAAAAGCAGAAGGCCCTTTCCCCCTAAATGGAAAAAGAACAACAAAGAAACTCACAAGTTTATCAACCTTCAAGTTCAAAAACAAATACAAAAGAAACTACAGACACCATCGTGAATTCACCCAACCTGTGAGAAATTCACAGACTCTTTGGGAAAAATTAATTACTATAAAAATTAATCAAAAGAGTACCAAGAACTTCAAACTTGGAATAAATACTCAAAAACTGCAACTAGGGGACATACTGACCCCTGGTTAGAGGGGTCTGTAAAACATGAGTTTCCAATGTTAGCAGCACGACTCAGGCGTGTGGTCATGGTCATCCTCCTTGCCTGGGGCGGGGGGCGGGGGGGACAGGATGACTTCTCACTACTGCTCTTTAGTACTTTCTCTGTTACCTCTTAAGAAGAGATACTCCAATCAAAACTGTACATTAACAAGAAAAGCGAAACCGGCAGTGACTGAACTCCGAGAGCAGACAGACTTACAGATGCTCAGACTCTTCGGGGTGCAGGTGGTGCCTGTGACAGCCCTCGGCCGGCAGCGGAGCAGGGGGCTGCAGGTCGGCCACGTTCACTGCCGCGGGGCTGCCCAGGAAGCTGCGCTTGGTGGCATTGGAGATAGGAACAGGAGGCCGACTGCTTTTTTGGTGTGACACTGTTTTAGCTGCAGAATAGCAATTTTATAGAAATATTCATATTATTTACAGTTCCTTACAACATTAGCAAGAAGCATCTTAAAAAAACAAAACACAGCTTTTATAAGCACTAAAAATAATACAACTTTTACTTGAAACCAAACTGCTCCAAAAAAGTTGGTTTCAAGTTCAACAAATGTATTCTCTAACAATGAACACTATAAATATTATACTAAAATTAACATGTACAACACAGATTAGAAGAAGAACTGAAACCAGCTGGTGCGTCTTTGACCACCAACAAGCAGTCTCCATCACTGGGGCCCCTCTACTGGCAGAGCTGCCCAGGACCCCTTGCTGCTCAGCCCCTCCTTGAGAGGCTCTAGAAAGGCCTGGTCGTCTGGGCCCAGTGTATGACCAACCACCCTAGTGGTCACTTCGGCTCAAGTCCCCATGGGGTTGGGTGAGGAGGTCAGGCTGGGCCGTAGCTCCAGTTCTGAACGGGAACCCCATCTCTGAGCCGGCTCCCCAGAGACTTGCCCCAAGACAGGTGGTGCAAGGGGCGGTCCAAAGCAGCAGCAGCTGGACCCTCACTACCCAGTTGGCAACAAGGACTCAGCAGCATGGCAGCTGGAGCTCAGACAGCCCTGGTACAGGTGGCAGTCCACTGGGGGTGACCAGCAGGGGAGACACAGTGGCTGACATGATGTGAACATGGGGAGGGAGCTTCCAGAATGACGGGACTGGATGGCTGCACTGAGCCCACTGGATCTCAAGAAGACAGAGAAGGAAAGACTGAGACAGCACCAGGTGGCCAAGAGCTGGAACGAGGGCGGAGGACACAGAGCTATGCTCTGCTGCAGCTGTGGCCGAGCCCCGGACTAGGGTCAGAGAAGCTGGCTGCCAGGGAGACTACTACACGGATCCTGACACATGAGACAGGAACTTCTGGGCCTTGAAAACCTCGAAATTCCCAGATTCCCTGGAACTCTGTGACCCTGCAGAAGAAGGTGCCCCTCCCTGTTAAGAGCCAGTACTCCCCCAGCACCGTGCTTAGAGACATGCAGAGGCCTTTCGAAAGATGACGTGTGCCCTTGCAGGACCTGTCCTACATTCCCTCTCGGCCACCAGGCCTACAGCATGCGCTGGGCCTGACATGGAGGAGAGGCCACCGGGGTGCAGCAGCAGGGACGGGCAGCAGCCAGGGGCAGGCCCGGGTCAGGAAGAGTGTGCTGACTTGGGAGGACTCGAAGATACACAACTCAGCAGGGACCCCGGCGCACGGTGTGCACGGACTCATAGCACAGCCCTCGCCAAGTGAGAGGAGCTACCAGGACTGCCGGGGTACAGCCAATACGCTACAGAATGCCGAGGGGCACACAGAGGCATGAGGGGCACCCTCTTCAGCACACCAGGGCTGCCTACAATCACTGCCACTGGGAGGCCAGGCAGCTGCTCGATCCAGCAGAGTCCACGTGGACTTACGTAATGGCCTGCATGGCAGGAGAGGCAGCCATGCAGCCTGGCTGCAAAGAGTCGTGGGAATGAGAATGGAACCCAGCTGCCCTAGGGGCAAAGCAGACGAGCGGCCACAAGATGGTCCTGGTCAACTTGTCCCATGAGAATAAACCAAGGATGGGTGATAGGCGTGCTGAGGGCAGTCCTCCCTATAGAAAGTCACTATTCCATGCCCCGTCTCTGGGCCTGAGCCAGGGTTTGCACCTGGAACCAAGTGACTAGAGAAGAGTCACCAGGAGCCAGAACCCACAACACTAAGGCAAGAGCCCATGGCAACAAGCCTTGCCCTTCCCACAGGGACAGACACCATCTACTCAGATGCCCGTGTACTAGGAAAAGGGGCACCTAACGTGTCGCAGACTGTTGGACGCAGGCCGAGTTGGTATCGAACTCGGAGACCCAAAGCATAATCATGGCCCGTCAGAGCGGAGAAGTGAAGGCCTGGCCAAGGTCCAGCTGCCAGTGGGTCCACCAGCCGGTGGTCACGCCCCACTCTCCAAATGTACACTTGGGATAAACATATTTGGCAGCTGATACAACAGCCACACTGGGTGTTGGGAAGGCTGAAGGGAGCCTTGGAAACGGCCCCGCCCCTCCCCAGCCAAGATGGAAAATCAGAACTTATCCCATCCAGGGGATGGGGGACATTAGGATCTAAAGGACAAACCGGTATGGCCCCTGTATCTCCATTTAATTTCCTAGACCACTCCGAAGAAACCAGATGGATCCTGGCCAAAGTCAGCCAAGCAGAAGGCCAAAGTGTAGCTGCCCTGCCAGAGGTACATGCAGCGACCTCCCATCTCCAGGTGCTGAACGAGAGTGGTCCCTGTGATGGCCAGCAGAGAAACGGGACCTCAGTCCTATAACCAAAAGAAACTGAATTCTGCCAACAGGAATGAGCTTGGAAGCAGTCTCCAGACAAGAACTTGGCCCAGGCAACACGCTCATCTCGCCCTTGAGACCCTAAGCAGAGAACCAGCCACACCATGCCTGGACAGAGACTCAGGGGCTTGCCATACCAGTAAAATGTTTAGGGGTCCAGTGGTCGGGGGCATGCCAGATCATCCCATCCAAAGGCCATCCCACACCTCTCATTGGGGAGGAGGGTTCTGGAGGCAGCACACTGTGTACGTGGAGTACTGCTCCGGCTGAGTGGCACAGAGGCTTTGAATGGGGCACGAAGCAGGAAACAGCTCCTCTGCAGGCCCAAGCCAAAGAGTCCAGCAGACTCTCTGCATTCCAGGTCTCTGTGGCGGGAAAAGAGCCATGTGGTCTAAGACAAGTCCCAGTGGGAGAAACACAGAGCAGGACCTTGGGATTCTGGAGCAGGGCCATGCTGCCTGCCACAAAGAACCACACACCTTCACAAACAAGCCCTGGCGTGTACTGGGCGTGACAGAGACCAAGTGCCTTGCTCACAGGGCACCAAGTGACCGTTGTGTCCAGAATTATCTGTCACAGGCGGAGTCCTGTGAGACACTCCCAGTCACAAAGGCGAGCCGCCTGTCAGCAGTTCATCGTAAGACAGAAGCGGCAGCCCAAGACTGAGCCTATGCAGGCCCAAGGCCACAAGCTGCACGTCATCTACCAGCACACCAGCACCCTCCCAGCTCCTATCAGGAGCCACATGGGGACCCCTGACAGCCAGGTGACGGAAGAAGAAAAGCCTAAGCTTGGCTAACAGACAGGTCGACTCAAAATGCAGACAGACGCTGCTTGCTGCTGCCAGCCAGCCTGTCATCAGCCACTGCCACGCTGGCACAATGGGTGGCACACATGTGAAGTGGCCAAAGGCAGGGACGGACCTATGGATGGGAGGCTAAAGGCACCGACTCCCACTTACCAGGCTCCCAAGGGGCCAAGGCTGAGCATCTAGTGCGGCACCAGGCCTTATGGAGTCCAACTGACCACTCAGTGGCATGCCAATGGTACTGGGCCCACTCTTGGAGCACCAGCAATTCCTTTTGGTAAGACGGGCCATATTCTGCTTGGAGTGTTTGCCTCTCTTGTGCACAGGGCTCAGCCACACATCTAGCCAACAGCTTACAGGGAGCACGAGATCGATGTACAGGACCCCACACAGCACTCGTCAGACCGAGGACACACCTTACAGAATGGAGGTGCACAAGTGGGCCCGTGACCATGAGACCTGCTGGTCATGGCACATCCCAGAGTGAACCATATCTACAGCCACTTTCTGGGCGTTTCCGACTCCTCTTTCCCAAGGGTCAGCAGGCAAGAAGAAAGGTCACAAACAAGACACTGTAGGCGCCGGCAGCTTCGCGAATGCTGTTCCCTTTCCCTGCACTGATGCCTCCGAGCCTCCCTCCCCACTTCTAAAAAATAAGACCCATCCTTCGGAGGTCAATTCCCCCAGGTCACAGCACATGTCACAATGTTCTACAGTTAACCACGCTTTGCTTTCCAATGGACTGTTCACATCTGTACGTCCAGTACCAGCCGGCCAGAGCGCTTGCTCCCAGCTACTGCTCAATACACGCCTGCTAAGTGGATTCAGGAGGGAGGGAGTCAGAGACTCCTGGGAAAGCACAGTGAGGTCTGAGGCACAGTCAAGTGGGCGCATGTGGAGCATGACCTCACGGGACACCTGTGGGAAGGAGAGTACGCTACGCAGGTACCAGGACAGGGCCCAACTGGGAGAGGCAAAGCAGGCTAACGGCCTCTCAAGCAAGGGGAGATGCCATGGTTCTTGAGCGGGAGTGTGTGACAAGGGTAGAGAAATGCCTTCATCACCTCCCCAGCACCCGCACGGTTCCACTGTCTGCCTTGCCAATTTGGTGGCGGTGGATCTGTGTATCACTTTTGTTTTCATTACTAATGAGGCTAAGCATCTTTTCATAAGTTTATTGGGCATTTGGAGTCCTACTTTCAAGAAGTACCCGTTCAAGTCTTTTACTCATTTTTCTATTGGTTTCTCTTTTTCTTATTGACATGAATGAGCTTTTCACATATTCTGGATACCAGTTACCCATTGTAGGTGATGCAAGTATCTTCTCCCCCTTGTAGCTAGTTGATTTCTTTTTTTTACTTTTTTTACCATCTTTTAACAAAAAAAAATCTTAATTTTAATGTGGTTGAATTATCAATCTTTTCTCTTGTAGCTATTTTTTACTCTTTATAAGAAATCACGAGGACACAAAAACATTCTCCCCCCCTTTTTTTTTTTTGAGGAAGATTGGCCCTGAGCTAACATCTGTTGCCAATCTTCTTTTTTTTCTTTTTTCTCTCCAAAGCCCCAGTACATCACTGTATATCCTAGTTGCAGGTCCTTCTAGTTCTTCTGTGTGGGACGCTGCCTCAGCATGGCTTGATGAGCGATGAGCAGGTCCATGACCAGGATCCGAACCAGCGAACCCTGGGCTGCCAAAGCGGAACGTGCAAACTTAACCGCTATGCCACCGTGCCGGCCCCAGACATTCTCCCATATTATCTTCTTAAAGCTTTATGATTCTCAAGGCTGGAAGATTATTCTACTCTATGGTAAACACAGATTTTTTTCTGCCTTGTTTTAGGGGCAAAAAGTAAGAACTGTGGAGGGTGAGAACAGCCATCATAGAGGAGAGAAGAGCTGTGCTTCCTCACCGAGGAAGGACATCAGAACCACCTGGAAGCTCTTCTCCAACGACCCTGCTGACCCTTGGATTCTGATCCTTCCAGACAAGGATAGGCCCAGCGCTGGACAGCGTGGAAAAGCTCTTCAGGTAACCGCCAGGGACCACAACAGAGAAGCGCCAGACAGGGAGCTAAGACAACAACACAGTCTCTGCACCCCTAAAGAAACCATTTAAACTTAAACACCGTTTAGTACAAAAAGTTAGGAGCCAATTAAGGACACCTTCTGAGGATTATATTTGGAATCTCTCAGAGGAAACGGCTATCATTTTATGGAAACTTTGTCACTCACCATCTTTCAGCTCCTGAACATCCCTGGGTTGAACGAAATCTGGTTTGACATTCTCAAACCACCAGAATAGTTCAGCAATAAAAACCATAACATTCGGCTAAAAGAAAAAAAAAAAAAAACCAAGGACACAATAAATAGCTTATTCATACACAGTTTTAAAAATGTGTGTTTAATAATTCATTATTACCTTCAACACTAAGGGAGCATACAGCATATCTTCTAAGGTGAGATAAAAGCATTTGTTAAGATATTCATTTGAGAATTCTCTCAGAAGCCGAATATTATACAGACTGTCAGCCATCGACGTTACCTCCTTCAAGCATATATCTAACAGATAAAAAGAAAACTACAATTTATTATAAAGATATTCTGCTTCATAAGTATGTGTATAGACATATAAAATTCTGAACTGAAAAACATTTTAAATGAAGGTAGTGGTGATATTTTAAAAGGTAACAACATTAAGAGATTTAAAAATTACAGTAAGTATTACAAGTAATACTAAATATAGAAATAAAACACTCAAGAGAAAGATCTGAGAAATCTCCAAGATCTGTATTGAATCGTTAACATCTAAAAAGCATAACACAAATTACATAATATTTAAGACTGTGCTTCCAAAATGGACAGTAACAATCACCTTTCAGTTTATAAAAGGACCTTGCTGCATTAAGCTAGTTAATGTTTAACCAAGACTCTCTCATCAACCAGAAATCCTTTGCATGAGGTTATCTCCATGACTACAAAGGAGCAGCAGGGAGGATAAAATGGGAAATGTCAGGCTTATCCAAGGAACAACACAGGAATATTACTCATCACAAAAATCAGGAGACGAAGCACAGCAAAGTCTCCTCCGTGAAAGAGGTGGGGACTGCTGGCTATTAGCATCTGGGGCAGGACCATTTTCCATTTTATGCTGCTTTGCAGGATGCCAGCAATCAGTGAACTCCAGCACAGGCATCAAGTCCCAAGAGTCTGAGTGCTCTGTGGGGGGAGGCGGAGCAGCTCTCAGACAAGAACCACTAGGACAGCTGGACTCAGCTCAAGACAAGAAAATAAGTCGCTGTATTGAGGACTTAAGTTAATTTTGCCTGTAAATAAATAAATATAAAACAAACGGATTTGAGAAATATAACTTATTTTAAAATAACTTTATTTCTAAGAATAAATCATCTTCAAGGGTTTGGACGTGTGCACAAATTAGACTCACAGCACCTCAGATTCACTTACCACTCCCGCCCTGTGCAGCGCCCCAGCCCTACTCCTTCTCCAGAGAAACCTGTCATAAGCTGAGCAATTGTGTACATCTATATTACTAAGAAACGTTTCCTTTTTTAAAATTTTGATTAGGAAATACTGCAAATAAAAAGATGAGACTCCCATGTACCCTCTACCCAGATACCAACATCACACCTTATCTGATCTCATTTTCTTTCAGTGACAAAATATCACAGATGGTGCTGAAGCCATCTGTGTCAGCCTTTTCATCACACATGGTCTGGGTCCATGAGCAATGTACCCATAAACAGTACACCATAGACTGGGCTCAATGATAACGAACTACGCCTATTTTGCAGCCTGTTTTTCCCCTAAACTCAGTATTATGTTTCCAAATAGATCTATGTGGATGTGGGTAGAGTGCAGTCATTCATTTTAACCACTATACAGTATTCCACAATTCTCACCATCATGAAAAATGCTGTAAAAACCAAACTTGTGTGCACTCTCCGCAGTTGCACACTCTGAGAAGGGGCTGGGCAGCCACGAGCTATGTTCCTCACACTTGGCCAACACCTGTTCACAGGCCACACAAGAATTCTGGAGCTTGCTCCTTCCCCACCTCCACCTCGGCATGATCAGGCCTTTTAATTTTTGCCAATTTGATGGGCGTGAAATACCCCTTTCTGAAATGGCACATCCCCGATGACTGGGGTGCTTTCACTCTTCACTTCCTCTTCCGTGAAAAGCCCGTTCTTACCTTGCCTCTGGGTTGTTCGTCTTTTTCTTATTGATTGGTAGGAATTCTTTACATATTACTGTTACAAAAGGAATGTGACGATTCTTTATCAATTTACATTTGTTGCAAATATTTTTTCATGCATATAGTTTCATCATGTAATTTTGTTTGACATTCCTTTGTTACTATACTGAATTTTATTATGGTTAAATATAAGCATCTTTTCTATTATTTGTGCTTTTTTATAATTTAAGTAATGCACCCCAACACCAAAGCCATAAACGTATGTTACTGGTGGCGGGGAAAATGGTGGGCGGGAAGGCAGGCAGGAGGAAGCCGCAGTGAGCTGCAGCTGCCGGAGCGATGGAGGGGAAGTTCCAGTCGCAGCACTGAGAAGCGATGGGCTGAAGCAGCAGCTGCAGACCTCCCAACAGAGCCTGCAAAGGTCTCCAGGTCTGGATTTGCCACAGGAAGCCAGACGACATGGAAAGCCTCTGCCATATCCGCCAAACTTGGACCCAGCGAGCCTAAAGAAACTTCCAACTCTCGCTCCAAAAACCCTCTCCGCAGCAACAGCTTTTAATGAAGACAAAGACAGTGAACCAGAGGAACTGCCTCCAGGAGCAAAGACGAGGATGAAGAATACTGCAAGGGGAGGACCAAACTCTGCTCCTAGAGGAAAGCATGGGTTTCCTGATAGCCAGAAGCTGAGGGAGCGAAACATAAAATCTTGTCTTGGAAATGTCCTGGCCAAGACAATTAAATGATGTGTTTTGAAATTGGGGTGTGGGCTGGGTGTAAAGTTAAAAGGAACAGTTTCCTTTTGTAAAGAATGGTATAACACTATCTTAGAAGCCACCCCCTCTTTTCTAAGATTGAGTGGTACACTAATAAATGAGAGTTTGAAATTAGAGGCAATTTATGTTTTATATACAGATTTCAAGACATTTGCTAATTTTGTAGTTTCACGTGATTAGTTTCCAAAGGTTACAAGTAAAAGAAATCAGAAATGGAAAAAAACATTTTCCAATATTCTCTTCTCAAAGTTCTTAAATTTTGCTTTTTGGGTTTAGGTCTCTCATCCAAGGAGAGGGGCTTCTGTCTCACGTAGGGTGAGATCTCACCCTATTTCCCACGTGTCCCCATATTCTGGACTAGCCAGTCCTCCCTCTCCCTGTCAGCTGTGGGCCACCTCACAGGCACCAGGTTCCCCACAGAGCGTCACTGTTCAGGCTTCTCTGCACAGCTCCTAGGAACTCAAACCTCACTGGGTTAGCTAACACAAAGTCAAACAAAGCTTGGTCTTTGTAGAGCAAAGACTCTACGCTCTTATTCTTCAAAATCAACTTGCTTGAAATCAGGGACAATCTAGGCAACAGAAGAATGAAGGTAACGGATTATAATCCACTGAATATAATAAGATCCATGAGACCATCCTCACATGAATCAAGAGGTAAGCAGAAAGAAGATAAAGCTCTCCCTGCAGTGGAATGCTCACTAGTAAATAGAAAAGAACAGCTAGACTCCCAACAGATGATACCACTCGTGGGTCAGAGTTTGGTGAGAAACAGGATGTTTATATAGTCTCAAAGCCTCTCCCCTAAACTACTAATTAATCATAAAGCAAAAAATAGTGATGCCGGAGTGGAGAAACCCAGCACACGCCTCCTGAACCAAGTGACCAAAGCTAGTGCATTGACCCTGGGCACAGCAACCTGATGTCCCGACCAGACGCTCTGGAAGACACGTCACTTCTGTGGTATTCTCGCTAAAAATGCATACGCTGGATCTCATCAGGAGGAAACACTGGACGTTCAACAAACTAGATGACCTGCACTCCTAGAAAAGATCAAGGTCAGGAAAGACTATGAGAAGCTGGGAATCAGCTCCAGATTACAGGAAACCATGAAGAGGCATGACAGCCACGTGGTGAGTGATGCCGGACTGGACCTGGTCTGGGAGTGACGGCCCCAACGGACGTCACAGGGACGCTTGACAGGACGTGAACGGGCCGGGATTCGTGCTGCCTCACGTCACCTTCCTGAGAGCTGTGGTGTTCGGAGAACGACTTTGTTCTCCAAGTATCTCAAAGGGTGTGGAGAGAGAGAAATACAGCACAATGGGACAACACATAACGACTGGAAAATCTGGGTAAAGGCAGGCAGGAATTCCCTGTACGTGCTTCTGTCAATTTAAACTCATATCAAAACAAATGTTACAAAACATTAATTTTCTCCCTTTGGCCTTTCCTCTTCCACATGAATTTTTACATTCCCTGTCAATTTCTCTAAAAGAAAATTATTCATTAGACTGGCAATAAATGTATGAACAATCTGGGAAAACTGCAATGTTTCTACTGATTTTAGGCACCTAAGAATACAGTTTCTCTTCTTCCAAGTACAGAAAAGTTTATCATTTTTCCATGGGTCTTACATCTTTTTTGTTAAGTTTATTCCCAAGTACTACAAACAGGTCTTCTTTTGTCCACAACACTCACAATGAGCTGATACCCGAGTGCAGGGCAGGTGGATAGCAGCCTGCCAGGTGCTCCGGGGCTGGTCCAAGGCTCCTCCTCCCTCCCTCCCGCCCTGGTGCCCTGGCTCATAAGGACCCAAGGTCAGAACACAAAGGTCCGTGGCCGTCTGGGTCAAGAACCTCTGTGGGGTCAGATCAAGTCACCAGCAGGTGAGGAGTGTCCGTCACAAGTGAGCCAGTGACTTCTAACAGACCATCTTCTGCACCTCCTGTGACGATCGTACAGAACATGTTCAGTTGCTCAATTCCTGGGTTTCCAGTCTACAGTCATAAGGACAGTGAGCCTACACTCTTCCTGCCGTACTCCACTCCTGGCGTCAGGGAATAATCCCTCTTCCAAAGAGCTGGGGCACTGCACCTCGTCCTCTTCTCTGGGGCGGTTTATACAGCGCAGGAGTTGTCAATTCCTCGAGAGCTGATACAACATCCCAGTAAAAAGCCCATCTGTAGGGATGGACTTTTGACTACTCAGTCCACTTATTTTGTAGTTATGGGTCTATTTAGGATGCCCATCTATTCTTGGTTCAACAGAAAACTGTCCATTTCATCAACATTTCAAATGTATGCAGCATACAAATACATACATACATACAATACTCTCAGTATTTATTTTAGTGTCCACTAAAATCTGTATTTATAACCTCTTCGCCACTATATTCTTTATCTTTGCCCTCCTCCTTGATCAAGATTAAGCTTTGTTTTACACATTCTCTCTAAAACTTTCAAGTTTTCTATTTTATTAATTTTTGAGTTTACCTAAAATTTTTAAATTTTTATTTTAACAAAATACATGAAATCTTTAAAAAGCCAAACAATATGAAAAAAAGCTTATTAAGAAAAACAGCAATTCTCTGCCCAGCCTTACCCCATGTCCCCCCATCCGTCCTCTACCTCTGGCCTGGCCATCACCTCCATAAGAGACACGGCCTTCGTCACCGAGGGACATCAGCTCCCAGCCTGTCACTAAGGGACATCACCCACAACTTGCAGTTATGGCAGAGGATGACGAGAGCTCACGTGGCCCTCTGAGACCCACCCCCAGACTCCTGCTGGAATCACCGGGCAGGATGTGTGAGGAAATCTAGATGAGTCTCGTGTTAATAGCTACATAACCATTTCCACAGCTGAGCTAGAACGTCTCTGCTTCTACTCCTTGTAGAACGTTCTGGTTTTCCTAGATTTAATACTTGCCTCAGTTTTTCACATCCTTTGTTACTCTGAACACCCCTTCGCTTCCTCACTGGGCCGGCCCACCTGCCTCCCTCCGGGCCTGGCCTCGGGGCCGGGGGGGGGGGGGCACATCCCTGCAGTGCACCCCAATACTGTGCTCAGAACCCCAACGGTGCACTTCCAAACAAGCCTCTCTCCCGCCCCTGGGTGATCAGGCACTCGGGGGGCAATCGCGCTCCCCGGGATTGGGGGCACTGCCGAGCCGTGGTCCAGATCCCTGTCCTGTGTGTGTGTGACTGGACTGATCCCCTCTCTGTCCCAGGAGCTGTGGAGCTGACTGCACCGTGCTCTGCTGTGGCCCTTCCTCATTAATCATGCTGGCTCCCCACGGTCCTAACGCTTGGCCTCAAGTGTCCTCAGGGCATTTTCTGTACTTTTCTTAGGTAAGTTCTTCTCCCATCTTCTCTGTTCTGTAGACTGAGCCTCTCATTTTTCCACCTCTTCTCCCTCATTTTCCATTTTGCTTTTCAGACCTACTTTCTGGGAGATTTCTTCAACTCTGTCATCTAGCACTTCAGTGAATTCTTCCATTTCAGCAACCACATGTTTTATTTCCCAGAGCCTGTCTCTGTCTGGTTATTTTGTACATACTTATTTAATTTTCTCTTTCAGACGCGCTGGTCCAGCACCCCGTTCTCGGTTCACAGACCCCTCATCTCTAATGTTTCTCCTGCTCGCCTGCCTGGTCTCTTTGTCCGGCTTCTTGTCCAGGTCAGCGGCTTTCCTCAAACATCAGGGGATCTCTGGCCGCCCAGAGTTAATAACGAGGCATTAAGAAGGGGACCTCACTGCAGGGCAACTGTGTGGGGGGCCAGCTGTCTCATGGCTGTGGGTCTTTTGTCCAAGGCCAGTTTCCATAGAGAAGAATCCTTTCCTGTTCTGAACGCAGGCAGATGGGCATCACGGAGCCAAGCAGGAGGCGGCTTACTGGGGCAGACAAATGGGAGGGAGAACCAGGCTCATCTTCCAGCATGAAGGATTTTACATAAAAGCCCTGATTTCAGTGTATCACCTTGTCCTTTTCCACCTCTGTGAGTGGGGTCTGAGACTAGAGCTCGCCTGGCTCAGTTCCCCTCAAGAGTGTGCCCCCATCTCCTGTGGGTGTGTGGGGAGGACGTCATCACTGCCTGACAGAAGACAAGGGGGACCTGGGCTCTCACTGCCCTTCCAACCAACTTTCAAAGAACCCCCGCCAAGTACGGCTGTCCCCCACCGTCCTTGGCATGCCCGTTTGGTGCCTTGCCAGGATTCTGCAGAAGGAGCGGCTTGCTCCTCTGGCTCGCCCTCCTCTGCCCTCCTTTCAGCACTCTTTGATTAGGGGGCTTGTTGTTCAGAGTCCAGAGGTCTCCCACTTTCCTCCAAGATGGAATCTGCAATTCAGTTCCTTCTTTTCCTTGTACTGGAGTGATTTTGACTAGTGAAGGAGACAGGAAACTACTCTTCATTTTCCTTCCTTCAACTCTCTTTGGGTTTACGTCTATGTTCTTTTCTAATGCACTGAGTTCAACCTAGTTTACTAATTTTAAAAATTTCTTCTTTTCCAGAATATGCACTGAGGCTACAAGTGGCCCTTTACTGGCCACTCTGAGCTGCATCCACAAGTTCTGGCACGTATGCTGTCCACTCACTTATTCAACAAGTATCTACTGCACACCAGCCTGTCCGAGACACTATTTCAGAGGGCTGGATGTGCCAGTGAACAAGACAGACAGAAAATCCCAGTCCGTCTAGATCTCAGACTAGAAAATTCTACTATGACTCCCACTGTGACCCATGCAATACTGAAAGTATCTTCTTTGGTTTCTAAGCATTAAAGACTTGAGAGGTTTAGAAACAGAGGTTGCATGTTTTTGTTACTCATTTCTTGTTTTACCGCATTGTGGGAAAAGTATGAATTCTTTGCAATCTGTTGAAGTTTCTTCTGTGGCCTTACTCAAGTCCATTTTTGTAAATACTTCCGTGACTATTTATTTTGAAAGAGCATATTCCATAACGCCTGGTGCCCGGGACCAAGCTTGTTAATTCTGTGTTCGGATCTTCCACGGCCTGACTCTCGTTACCTGCTTCTTCCATCAGTTCCTGCAATGTAAGTTATGAGTGTGGCTCTGTTCATCTCTCCCCGTAATTCTGTCATTTTTTAAAATATCAATTTTGGTATTCTGCTATTAGATGCAATGAGCTTCAATACTGTCACATTCCCCTGTGGGTCATTTCATCACCAACAACGACTCTCTATTCCAAATAATTCCTTTTGTCTTAAGATCCCTAGTGGACAGGTTAGAAGCAGGCTAGATACAACTGAAGCAAGAACTAAGTGAATTAGTGAACCGGAAGGTAGACTTGAGAAAATACCCAGAATGCAGAGGGTAAAAGAGATGAAAACACAAAAAAAGGTGCTAAGGATAAAGGAAAAACTCCAGCACACAGGTACCACTCCTGTCCCTATCTTTGTTACGTTTTCTAGTTCTTCTTTTACGTCTTAATCATTTTAAACATTGTGTTCTTGTTCAGATGTTCTTTTTCACTGACGTCTTGGTCCAAATCTGTCTGTTGTATCTGCAGCTCTGATGAGGGCTCTTTCCTCGTGTGGTTCTGCTTTTCCACAAAGCTCATCTTCTGGCCGTGGGGTGGTTGCTCTCGGTGGGTATCTGGTGTGCCCTGGCACATGCAAGCATTCCTACACAGCAAAACTCTGCTTTAACTCCTGCCAGGGACCACCAGCTTCCCAAGTCCTGGACTCGATTTCACGTGTACTCCCCCAGTGCCACACAGGCAATGTTCATCTCAACCTCCCTCCCACCAGGAAAGAGCTCTGTCCCCCTCCCCAACCACAGGCATCCGACAAGCCTCCTGGTTCTTTCCTGGACGGGAGGTGGAGCTGTCCTTGTCCACTCCTGGGTCCTGGTCAAAGCTCCCACCACACAGAGCCCCAAGGCCAGGTGACCATGAGAGGCCCAAAAGGCCCTGGGGCAACCAGCTGTCAATTCACGGGTTTTTCACTCAAAGACACCCTCTCCTAGAACCTGCGATTTCTCCCTTTCTTTCAAGTTCAGCTATGTATTTTAAAGACTATTTTATCTAAAAAAACTACAGAATCCAGCATTTTTGTACTTGGAGCAGGACCAGGACCAATGTCAGCTCCGTCCCAGGGCCGGGGTCTAACACAAATGTTTCACATATCAGGTGGCATTCTGGGCACTCTCTTGGCATTGTACCTCCCTCCCTCAGAAAGAGGGTGCGCAGCAAAGCCTAAATCAGAATTCCTATTCCCACAGCCCCCTGTATAGACATCCACTGCCATGCTGTTCACAGCGTCACTCGCATCTCTCTCTCCCTACCGTCAGGCTGTGAGCGCCTCCGAAAGACGCACGGCATCGCAATATCACCAACACCAGGCATGGAGGAGTCGTTCATAAGTGGTTTTTAAACAGACTGGATTCTTCACTCATTTTCCTATCCCCAAACTAAGTTCTAGATGTTTTAAAACAATTGTAACAGAATTGACAAAATCCTAACTATTCTGGGACTCGAGTAAGGTCAAAAATATTTAACACATTACCCAAATACTTTCAAACTACAGTTCCTTCCTCAGATAAAATGCAGGTTAAGAATAAGCATGTCATCCTCAACTCTTTTCATCTATATGCCAGTGTCCCAGTGAGTATTAAGGACTCAGTGTGTTACTTTCTGGTTTTTTAAGGGTTTGGATCAGTGTATTCATAATGTCCTTTTAAGGGGTTAGGTCTGTTCAAGGGGAGCATTCTCCACTCACCATCCAGTTTCATCTGCTCTGGGCAGTAGTAGTGGACCACAGCCAAGAGAGCAGCCCCATCACTGCTGTCTCTCATCAGATCCTCCAACAACGGGAAGTAGGGCGGCTGCCTTGCGGACAGGTGCTCTCGGCGGTAGCGCACCTGCAGTTGATGAAACGAGAACCGTCTACACATGACGTGCCTTCACTACCGCTGCATTACAGGCAGACTGTTACATCTAGAACTAACACAATGCCCGCTGGACAATGCTGGAACAACAGCAATTGTAGGGAAAAAGCTCCAAACATCTGGGTTACATACTTTGCCTGGAACATATATGTCAAGTTCCAGGGAACTGGGCTTCATGGCTACACTGAGTGACAGTAATTAGCTACTAACAACACAGGCCCTCTCACTCTCAAGTGCCCTGGCACACACAGGAAAGGGGGCAGAATGCACGTCTACACTACCAAAAGCTGGCATACTATAAACGAATGAGAAACAAGTTAAAAGGTGAACCTCCTAAGGTGTGGAAGACCCAAGTTACCGCTACTTTTCACAGTATTATCAGCATTAACCTCGGCCATTAAGAAAAATACGAAACAGCATTAATATACACTTTGAGAAATTTCAGAAACTACGTTAGACAAAATTTCGTACACTACATTAACCAGCCCCTCTAATAAGTGCAACGAAGTATCAGAAAACTGAATGCGTGCAAGGTGCTATATAAAACAAGTATTTTTTCAAGGCTTCCATACTCTTGCCTCTGGGGAAACCATGTGCACGGTGTCTGACCTGCCCCAAGCCCCTCAGCGCAGCGCCCGTAACTGAGGTCAGTTTCCGAGCGCACAGCACACAGGCCGCTGCCACTGCCAGAAGGGGCTCAGCACAGGCGCCTGTCCCAAACGCCCTGCTGGACGCTCGTTCTTTCTGCACTCACAGTCACAATACGGCTTTAAAATACGGCATTTCCTGCAAGCCACATTTTCTCCAGAAGAGGAAAATAAAAAACACAAACTAGAGGAAGAAAACCAGCAGCTATACCAACAACTATGGATTTCTGAGAGTTCAACCTGAAGAAAAACTCTCTCTCAGCAATCTGGAATTTAAAGTCATGATCTCAGTAAGCATACAGGGTAGAATAATCAATACTGATATTTAGTATAAAACCTTTCTAACACATTCTTCTAAAATTAGTCACTAAAATCTGTTTTGACATAGACTTTAACTTGTTTCTCAGGGCTCACAGCCTTGGCTACGACACGTAACATGCCCACACTGTCCCGGGGGCCAAGTCCACGGGCTCCAGCATGCAGAGTATGAGGGCATGCGCCAGGCCAGGCTCCACAGACAGACAGCACACATGGGTGATCGACCACAGCATGCAGGAAAGCAAATGGTTCCTCGATTGAAGATGGATGGGATGCGTTTAAAATCAGGGAAAACACTGAACTACAGGGTCCAGGGAGCTTGCAGAATCATCTTCAAGTCAGGTCAACCCTCTGGGCTGGCATGTCAAGGGGAAACCTGTGACCCTGCCAATCTGACCAGACCTCTCGGTACTTATCCTCACTAGCCTGCTTGCTGGACGCTGCAGTCAGCGCGCCTAGAACTAAAGGACACCTGAGGGGGCACTGCTCTTGGTCATATTTTCAGTTTCTATAAAACTCTCATCTGAAACCTTACCTCCTGTAGGACACCTGAATTCTTGACTATATCCTCACTAAATCATATAACTGTTTTAATATTTAGTGTTTGGCCTTCAGGATTCAAAAAACTAAAAGAGATGTAAATATTCATAAAAATGCTTTCCTCTTCTTTGTTATGAATCTATTTCAAAGAGAAGCAAATTATCTATCAGCTGGAAAGCAGAACACATCACTGCTCACACGGATCTCATTTACCAGTTCGACCCCTGGTGTCTCCTACGGGACAGAATTCCAAGGATAATCTGGTCCAAATAATTAAACTAAAGGAAACAGGCAATCACAGGAGTATGCCAAAAGATCTGTGTTCCAAAACTTCATTTTAAAATGCGCCACTTGGAGCACCAAGTGTTTTTCCATAGGAACAGTGAAACAAACTTGTTCTGCTTGCAGAACGGGTCGCCACGTGGGGCACAGCTGCACTGCAGAACCAAATCATTACTTTCCAACCTACTTTTTATGGGAAAATCCACACAACGTTCTATTTAAAGGTCACTGGAGACCAAGTCCTTCTCCACAGTCCACGAGCAGCCTTTCACATGGGCACATCTTTCTCACCAGATGACCCACGCTACAGTTACTGAGAGGCGTCCTGTCAAATAGCTCCAGTAGGGAAGGTAATATCAGAAAGAACAAAATATAAAGAGGAATTCGAGAAATTAATTATTCATCATTCCTTCTGATTTCTATTAGAAAAGAGAGTGGATCCTGTCATTTACTTTTACTCTCATCACATAAAGAAGTAACTAAGTGTCCACAGGAAGAAACACAAAACTCTCTCTTTAAAATTACCTAAGAAATTGGGCAAAACCAAACTCTGTGTGTTGTCTATGAAATGCAACTGAGAACTCCCAAGTGCCACATTATGGAGCCTACTCAGCCCAGATTCAGGTTATCGCTCGTACTGGAGAAAGTGTAATAACAATACCAAGGAGGACATCTGAACAAAAGAAACAGGTTCGGGTGCAAGCAATTTTTAATGGAAGCAAGTGATTGCAACAGGATGGCTCTCGATGGCAGCGGGTGCGCACGGAGTTCACTTACAGGCACTAACTTCCAGTACCACTTGGAGGGAGACTGCTCGGGGAGCAAGGGAAGGAAGCAGGAGAGGAGCGTCAGCGGGGCAGGTCCACGTTTGGAGGGATGGAATACCACGTTCACAGTGTTTACAAGAGAGGCAGATGTCTCTGAGAAGGAAGATCTGCCCAGTGCACATGGCCTGGATATCCTGTATTCTCAGATGACTGAAGTGGAAGGTCACAGGCACCTCTACAACACTAGCCTCTGCGGGAGCAAAGAATACTCCGGAAACTCCGTACAGGCTGGGCACCAAAAAGGACAGAGGCCAACCGAGACTCAGGGAGGGGCTCCGTGCGTCATCTGTGTCCGTCTGAGGAACAAGGTGTCTAACAAGTGGGCCTGGTGTGTGGTGCCCATGGCATCCCCGGAGTCCAGGAGCAAGGGGACGCCAAGAGATCACAGACACGGCTGAGCCATGTCGTACACATGTTTAAGGGACGTGGATTCAGTCACACATGTGCTTGGCAAAAAATAAAATAATAATGTCAGGGGAAGAAAAGGATGGAAATGACCGGAATGCATAACGCACCATCTCCATCATTTCATTAGACACGTAACATTCATCCCCCTGAATTTCACACGGGCTTTTAGAGATACACCAGCAGCTACACTGGACCTCATGGGCAGTGCAAGGGACTGTCAGGGGACCTTTGGCAGTAGGCAATTTGCTCCACATTTGCTCACTTCTATAAGTAACTCCTGGGCAACCTCTGTCACCTCTTACTCTTGAGCTTCCCAACACCTCCCCATATCTCCCTCACCCTCCCAAGCTAAATACAAGACCACCCCTGGCCAGGAAGAAAAGGGGAGCCAGCTGCCAGGCCCACCACCACTGAGGTACTGCACAGCCCGGTGCCAGGGGATCGAGGAGACTCGCTCCTTTCTTGATGAGTAAAAATAAAGAATAAGCAAGGAGTAAATATGATGTGATTCTTTAAGACCAGGGGCAACATAACTCAGTGCACACCAGAGAACTGAAATTGACCCTTTACCTTTTGATGGGCTGGACTTTCCAACAACTGCTGTTTTAACTTAACTTCTTTCTCTGTTATCTCTCTCATTTTAAGATTTACCTAAAGTAGAAGAAAAAGGCATTAAAAAGGCAATTGCTTTCCAACACTGGTATCCATATCTTTACTTCATCACCCAGAGACCCCACCTCACTTGTTTTAACTCTTGACTCTTAGATGCAGGTATTATTTAGGCCAATTACACATAGGCAGAAATATATGGATTCCTGCTCTGTGACTCGACGTGGAGAACAAAGTCGGCCTGCTACCCCAGGAGATACTCCGTGCCTCCAAACGCCAGTGCAACGTTTTCCAGCTCACAAGAGGCTCAATACACTGCATCACTCACTGATCATCCACGGTGCACAAACAGCACAAGTGCCCCGTTACCATCAACAAACTGCTGATAAACAGTCTGCCTGAGACCCCCACTGAAGAGCCTAATGGGGGCTCACCTGTGCCCTGACCATACCAATAACACTAGGTACACTTGAATCATGAAAGCTCAACTGTACACCCCTTCAACAATCAATGAAACTTCTTGGAAATTAAAGTGTTCTCTCCTGGAATTATTAACTCAAAGATAAAATCAAAATTGCAACTATAAAATAATACCATGGAGAAAAATACTCTTCATCAATGCTTAAAAGGATGTGGTCAAAGCTATAATCAGATGAAAAGGCACATTTTATTATTAAACAAGAATACAGATACGTGAACTCATGCAAATCAAATTAAGAGGGTAGAAAACCTGATTTTTAAAAGAAAAACACAAAAGAGAATCAATTTAGATAAACTTAAAAATAAATGAATTAGAATGGATGGATGGACGGGTAAGTGATAAAGCAAGTATTGTAAAACGGTAACTAAAATCTAGGTGGTTGGTACATGAGTGTTCTCTACATAATTCTTTCAACTTTTCTGCATGTTTAAAATTTTTCAGAATAAAATATTGGAAATAAAAAAACATTTTAGAAAATATGTTTCTGCCATAAGCTAGATAGCTTTCAAATATGGAAAGGATTTTCTGATTAGACTGGTGGTGACTAATGAATGTAATTTTTGACACTATCATGAAATGTGACAACACTGGGAAGATCTACACAGTTCAATGAAATAATTTTCCAAATAACCAATGTATGATGTCACAAAACCATGGGTGAGTAAAAGGGCCAGGAAGAATGCAAAGAAGATACAAGGACTTTAATATAACAGAGTACGAAAAGTTGATTGACCTAACATCTAGAATACTAGATAAAAGAATTCTTACAACAATAAAAAGACAATCTGATTTCAAAATGGGCAGAGGATCTCAACAGATGTTTCTCCAAAGGAGATCTACAAATAGCCAACGAGCACATGAAAAGAGGCTCCTCATCATTAGCGATCAGGGAAATGTGAATCTAAACCACAATGAGACACCACTTCACATCCTATAGAACGACCAGAATCGAAAAATCAGAAACCAAGTGTTAACAAGGGTGTGGAAATTTGAAACCTCAGATAACACGGGTGGAAATGTAAAATGGTACTGTGGAAAAGAGTTTGCCAGTACTTCACAAAGTTAAACAAAGAGTTTCCATGTGGCTCAGCAATTCCACCCCTAGAGATATACCCAAGAAATGAAAACACATCCACACAAAAACTTGTGCACGAATGTGCACAGCAGCATCATTCACAACAGCGAAAAAGTGGAAACACCACAAATACCCAACAGCTGAGGAATGGATAAACAAAACGTGGTATATCTATACAACAAGTATTATTCGTCATAAAAAGGAATGAGGTACTGATAACGCTACAACATAGTTGAGAGTTAAAAATATTATGCTGGATGAAAGAAGGCAGACACAAAAGGCCATATACTGTATGATTCCATTTATATGAAATGTCCAGAAGAGGCAAATCCATAGAGACAGAAAGCAGATCAGTGGCTGCCAGGGTCTGCGGGTGGAGGTGGGGATGGGGAGTGAGTACTGATGGGTACAGAGTTTCTTTTAGGGTGTGATAAAAATGTTTGTAATTAGTGGTGGGAGCTGTACATCCTTGTGAATATATTAAAAACCACTGAACTGTACACCTTAAAATAGTGAATTTTATAGCATGTGAACTATATCTCAATTTTTTAAAAAAGTTAATTGATAATGGCTTCAAATTCTACATTGCAATTAACCTTTAAGAAACTACCACTTGTCAAGTTTTGGTGTAGAAAAAAAACAAGATGTGCATAATTATCTGAAAAGATTAAGAAAATACTCTCCCCTCTTCCAACTACATATCTATGTGAAGCCAGATTTTCTTCATATACTTCAATAAATACAACAAATTATAATAGATTAAATACAAAAGCAGGTAAGAGAATCCAGCTGTCTTCTAGTAAGCCAGATATTAAAGAAACTTAAAAAACTGTAAAATATCACCACTTATTTTTTTTGGAAAACATAGTTATTTTGCATAAAAAGTATATTGTTTATATGTTTTTAATTTAGTTTTTTAATTTAATTTTATTTATTTATTTTTGTAAGGAAGATCAGCCCTGAGCTAACATCCATGCCAATCCTCCTCTTTTTGCTGAGGAAGTCTGGCCCTGAGCTAACATCTATTTCCAATCCTCCTCCTTTTTTTTTTTCCCCCCTTTTTCTCCCCAAAGCCCCAGTAGATAGTTGTATGGTATAGTTGCACATTCTTCTAGTTGCTGTATGTGGGACACCACCTCAGCATGGCCGAACAAGCGGTGTCGGTGCGCACCCAGGATCCAAACCTGGGCCGCCAGTAGCGGAGTGCGCGCACTTAACCACTAAGCCACAGGGCCGGCCCACATTGTTTATATTAACATGAAATGAGTTTACTGTCATTTTTAAGTGAATTAATAAATATTTTTAAATTTTGTTTTTAATTTCTAATATGGTATATATTGATAATTTTTTTAATTCTTTAAGGTCCACAGTAATTTTTAAGAGTATAAAGAGGTCCTGAGACGAAAACGTTTGAGAACTCTTTACGTATACAAAGGCATGAAGAGCAACGAAAATGGAAAATATGTGGATAAGTATTATTCTCTATTTTTAATTACTTTAAAAGATAATTGACTGCTGAAAGCAAAAATAACATGTTTCTGGGGTTGTAATGAAATGAATGACAACAGTAGTACAAAGGTCAGGAGGGGAAAAGACATTTCTGATAGGATCTGTGAAATGCTATCACTTTATTTGAAGGCAGAGTGTGACAACCTAAAGATGCTTATTGTAACCCTTAAAGCAGCCCCCTAAAAAATACTGGAGATAAAATGGAGTACTAAAAAGTACCCAATCCAAAATAAGTCAGAAAAGAAGAAAGAAAGAAAAGACGAGATAAACAGAAAGCAGACAAGATGTAAAACCCAGACATCTCGATAATCACATTAAATGTAACTGGTCTAAACATTCCAATGATAAGGCACAGATTGTCAGACAGAAGGAAAAGCAAGACAAACTTAACGGTATCCATGAGAAACTCATTTTAAATAGAAAGACAAGAGGTTAAAAATAAAAGGAAGGGAAGAGACACCCCATGCACACACTCATCATAAGAAAGCTGGAGCAGCCATATTAATATTAAATGAAGTAGACTTTGGGACAAAGATCATCACTTGCAATAAAGACAGGTATTTCATGATGACAAAAGGGTTAATTTGTCAAGAAGATATAAAAATCCTACAAGTGTGTAAATGTAATAACAGATTGGAAATACATAAAGCAAAAACTGACACCACCAAAAGGAAAAACAGACAAAATTACAGCTGGAGACGTCAGCTCTCCTCTTAGAGTAACTGGCTGCCAGGCCAGAAGATACCAGAAGATACAAACAACACCAACAACCAATCTGAACTGACACTCAGAGAGCTCTCCACCCAAAAACGGAACACACCATCCTTTCAAGCGCATGTGAACGTTTTGTGAGACCACACAATGGACCCCAAAACAAGTCTCAATGACTTCAGAAGGACTGAAATCACACAAAGTGTGTTCTCTGACTGCAACGGAATTAGAATCCAAAGCACCAGAAGATATTTAGAACTAACCACCCCCTTACAAATATCTGGAAACTAAACTACAAACTCCTAGACGACTCACTGATAAAACAACCATCTGCAAGTGAAACTGGAAATATCTTAAAGAGGATGATGAAAGCCACAACACACAGGAGTGTGTAAGGTGCAGCTAAGGCACTGCTTAGAGAGGAAAAGACAGCTTTTTTTTTTTTTTTTTTTTTTTAAAGATTTTATTTATTTATTTTTCCCCCCAAAGCCCCAGTAGATAGCTGT